AAAGGCTGGGGTTATACCACCTATCGCTACTTATCCTGCATCTTCAATGACTTACGCACATACACAGCTAGGTCTCTTGGTTCCTGCACTCCCTTTCAAGTTGCGCCTTTTATTTTGTATTGTCTCTGCACATTCTTTCTATCAAAATCACTTCACACTTTTGTGCATTAAATTGTATCTTCCACTTGTCTGCCCATTCCACCAACATGACAATACCATTTTGAAATTCTACAGTATCCTCCTCATATTCACAATCCTTTCTAGAATCTGTATTATCCACATGTTGTGATCCCATCTAATGTTATTACCGAATAACTAGATGCCAGACTGAAATCTGGCTTGAAGATCATATTTTGGTTTTCTCTTGGTTTTAATGCAGTGGTCTTTCACTGAAACACAAGCTGCAGATTTGGTTCCAACAATAAAACAGAAGTTATTATACAAGATGTTGAAATCTTTTTAAGTTTGACCATAACCATTTATTGTAGCCTGTATTAGAAGATTAACATTACATGTAAAATCAATTAGACTATAAAGCAGTTATTTTAAATTGGATTTTAAGTAGTGAAATTCACATTAAGATAAGCTTCACATATGTTTAGGGCAAACATGGGAATATTGGTGTTAGTCTGCAACACTTAGTTAAGCTCGGCTGATACATGCTTTGGATAAAAATGCTAACTACAGGAAGTATTGCACCATTCTTGTGAACAGGTGGCATACTGTTCAGCTTGTTTGGTGTTGGCCCACAGATATCTTTCAACAATTCATCATCCTTTTTTTCAAACAAGGAACTGGCCTAACAATACGTACGCTCTTCCAGTTTTCTTCCAAGTGTTGTTCCAGTACCAGCCAGGGAAGAAATGGCCTTGTTCCCCGTTGGTTTGGAAACAAAATTCCTGTGCTTGTTGAAATCATGTTTTGGAGCTGTTAAATCAAAGGTTCACAATGAATGAGCTGCCAGGGGAGGTGGTGGAGGCTGATACAATTATGACATGTAAAAGGCATCTGGATGGATACATGAATAGGAAGGGTTTAGAGGGATATGATCCAAGCTCAGGCAGGTGGGACTAGTTTAGTTTGGGATTATGGTCAGTATTCAACCAAAGGGTCTGTATCCTTACTGTTTGACTATATGACTCTATGTTGTCTTTTCAAAATATTCCAGCAACTAAATTAAACATGAGTTGCCCTTTGAAAACCTGTACTGTCTGTCCTTAACTAACCTACATTTGCTCAATAGATGTGATTGAACTGTTTAAAAGATAATGAAGGCATTCTGTAGTGCTGAGGTAGGGAATAAGTTTACACTTGTCAGGGACCAGAATCTGGCTGGCATAAATTCAGGATAATAAATCCAGTAAGACATTCGGTAGAATGTTCTTTACCCTCAGAGTGGTTACAATGTGAAACTTGCCTACTGCAAGGAATAGTCCAGATAATTAGCTGGGACAACATGAAAGGGAACCTAGATAAACACAAGAACAAGCAGATGGCTTTAGTTGAGGAAAGTTAGAGTGTGGAACATAAGCCACTATAGACCTTTTGGGCCGAATGGCCTGCTTTTATGCTGCAAATGCTACGTAACACTGATTCCAGATTTTCTAAATGGCTGATTCAGCGCTTGTATATGTCCAGTCCACAAACCACCCGAATTGACGGATGAATCAGAGCATAAAAATGTGACCTGCCTCTAAAACTGAACTGTAGTTTTCCAGGGAAGTGTAGCTCATTGTGCTCTGTGCAGGAGTGTCTCCCTTACACTTCTAAAATGAAAACTAAGATCACTGCTAGGCTGTTTGGCTAGATGTAAATGATAATAAATTATAGGCTTAATGCCTGAGCACAATTTTATGGTGGAATTGCTTGTCTTATTTTCACTTGTTCTCTAATTGAATGAGAACCCAACAAGCTCATCAGTGGTTTATTTATCTCAGTAAGTGATGCTTTTCCTATGACACATTAATAAGTATAAATATTTTTACAAAGCCCTATTAATCATCACTGTCTAAGATTCTTTTGGAGCCCATAGATACGGAAAAACGTGGACAGTTAAACAGTGCTAACATTTTCTATAAAAGGTACTAAATGTTTGATATTTGTATTACGTTTCCTTGTGCATTACATTGACTACAGTGTAAATCCTGATGAAGAAAGTGTTGGAAATTTTCACGTTTAAATCCTGTTTGAATTAATTAAATATTTCTGAAGCAGAGACAGATTGCTGGAGAGTCATATTCTGAAGACATAGGGTTACTGGACCTGAAATATTAACTTTGTTTTCTTTCTGCACGGATACTGCCAGACCTGCTGAGGAGTTTCTCCAGCAATTTCTGTCCTCTAGGAATTTCAGATTTCCAGCATCTGCAGTGCTTGTTTCATTGATTGACCTATTTTTCTAATCAACCTATTCAGAGATGTTATTACACACCTCTGGAGCAGGTGGGACTTGAACCCAGGCCTCCCAGTCCAGAGATAGGGACGCTGCCACTGTGCCACAAGAGGGCCTTTAGATGTATCTCACTCTAACCTGCAGTGGGTCTATGTGCAGTTCATGCTTAGTGATAACATCACATATTAATATTGTGAATCAATCGGTTCCCACCTCCGGAGCTGGTGGGACTTGAACCTGGGTCTCCTGGCTCAGAGGTAGGGACTCTACCACTGCACCACAAGAACTCCATGTTTTATTTAGTTATTTCTGAAGTGTGGTCACTGTTTCACATTGGGGCACTTTGTGCCTAGCAAGATCTTGCAAAAAAAATGTCAGACAATGATCAAGCTGTCTGCTTTAGTTATGTTGTTCAAAAAGTAAATATTTAGACTGGACAGAACTCACCCGCGTTTCTTCCAAATAGGACTCTGGGTTCTTTTTGTCCATCAGAGAGCTCAATTTGGCCTATCATAGCTGTGGTCCTACATCTTCTCCATTGCCTTGTAATTTCTAAAGTTTTGATGTAATTTTCTTATGCTACTACTGAATCTACCAAAAGATTCAAGAACAGCTTCTTCCCCACTGTTAGCAAGCTTTTGAATGGACCTCTCATATTTTTGAGTTGATCTTTCTCTGCACCTTCTCTGTAGCTGTAACCCTAATATTCTGCATTCTGTTCTATTACACTGATGTACTTGTACTTGTATAAGGTATGATTTGCCTGGATAATGCACAAAGCAAACTATATCGGTGCACTTGACAATAATAAATCAAATCAAATCACATTGACATTGGTGAGGCCTTTTCTGAAGTACTGTGTCCAGTTCTGGTTGCCCTGTTATAGGAAGGATGTTATTAACCTAGAGAAGGTTCAGAAGAAACTTACCAGGATGTTGCCAGGAATGGAGGGTTTGAATTATAAAGAGAGGCTGGATAGGTTGGGACTTCTTTCACTGGTGTGTACAAGATTGAAGGGTGACATTATACAGGTTTATAAAACCATAAGGGGCATAAATAAGGTGAATGACAGGTTTTTTTTTCCCTAGGGTGGGGTATTTCCAGACTAGAGAGCATATTTTTAAGGTGAGAGGAGAAAGATTTTAAGAAAGACATGAGGGGCAATTTTTTTACACAGGGAATGGTACGTAGGTGGAATGAACATCCAGAGGAAGTGGTGGATGCAGGTACAGTTACAATGTTTAAAAGACATTTTAGATAAGTGCATGAATAAGAAATGTTTGGAGGGATATGGGCCAAATGCAGGCAAATGGGACTAGTTTAGTTTGGGATTATGGTCGGCATGGACTGGTTGGACTGAAGGGTCTGTTTCCGTGCTGTATGACTCTAAATTTTAACCATTCTTTCAGTCATGGCTGAAATGTTCAATAAAGAAACTTTAATTAAAAAGGTTATTATTTTCACACACTTAGTTGACATTTGCCTGGTACCACAGAAAAGCTAGTTACGCAGATCATTCCTCACTGAAAATCTTGTATCCTTTCTTCTGGCAACTGTGCTAGTTAATGTAGTCCAGTTATAATTTTATGAATGTCTTGAGTATTTTGTTTGGGGTAATATTCAGAAAGTTGGCGACTGGTTTGCTGAAACCTGTGGTGTGGGTGTGTAAAATGACTCCTGTGGTTACAACAGTGTCTGCTTTGAACTCCCTGACACCATCTCATGGACTGTGCTACCCCATGGTTTAAAGCTTGTGCCATTCTGCTGACCATAGAATCCCTACAGCATGGAAGCAGGTCCTTTGGGTCCAACACTGACCCTCTGAAGACATCCCACCCAGTCCTACCCCCCCCAACCTATCCCAGTAACCCTGCATTTCCCATGACCAATCCACCTAGCTGGCACATCTTTGGACTGAGAGAGAAAACCGGAGCACCTGGACGAAACCCACCCAGCAAAACGTGCAAACTCTACTCAGACAGTCGCCCAAGGCTGGAATTGAACCCAGGTCTCTAGCACTGGGAGGCAGCAATGCTAACCACTGAGCCACGTTCCGAGGTGTTTGTGCTCCACTTTTGAGAGCCTTGAGACTCCTCCACTTAGCTTGACTGTCGCTACTCTGAGTCTGTTGCAATGTTGTCTTTGCCGTCAAAAGACAGTGAGTTCCTGACTGACTCTCAGGAGTTCAACTAACCTCTTTCATTTATGTACCGATGTACAGAATACTGATCATTGCTCGCTACCAAACCTGCAACAAGTGCTGGAGAAACTTGGCAGAATTCTGAAGAAGAGTCATACTGGACTCAAACATTAACTCTGTTTCTCTCTCCTTCTGAGTTTCTCCAGTGTTTGTCTCAGATTTCAGCATCTACAGTGTTTTGTTTTTATCTTTAATTCCTCTCTGCACCACACCTTGGCAGGATGCAACTGTTGATGTCAGAGTTATATCGCCATATCCATCGTCACCGCAACAGATTCACGCTCGTGGTACAACAGTGAAGCATTTCGTTGGCCCTGGAGTGCTTTTTGGATGGCCTGAGGTGGTGAAAGGTGCTATATAAATGTAAGTCATGCTTCACGCTGGTTTTTCCGTTTGTCACTGTCACAGGTCATGAAGACGTACCACATGTACCACACCGAAAGCATTAGCGCAGAGAGTAAACTGAAGGAGGCTGAGAAACAGGAGGAGAAGCAGATTGGGAGAGACCCTGTCTTCAGCATCCAGATGGAAGAAAAGCACCAGAGGCGGAGGTCGGTGAAAAAGATTGAGAAAATGAAAGAGAAGGTAGGACAAGCATCAGCCTTTGATATGGTAGGGGCCGGGGTGGGGGGTGGGGAGTTGGAGCAACTGTGCACAAGGCCTGTGTGTTAATATGGGACTTGTTCACGTTAATATGGGACTTGTTCTCTGACTGAGTAAATCTGAGACTCGGCAAAGCTAATGACTGAAATCTCACTTCACTGCATAGTCCGCACTACCAGACAGTGAAACTGGGTATGCTCCGATCTGTGGGGCACATTTGTTACCACTGTCCCCATTAGTGATTTACAAGACCTGTTAGGTCTAGTGTGGTAGAGGGAAGCCACTTTAAGTGGAATAACTAGAAGGGACTCTAACAAGATATAGTTTGTTGTATGTTAGCAATGAGTTACATTGATGGTCTCTGCAGTAATATCTATGAGAAGGATCTGGATGTTGCGTCATTCTCTGTTGAAATCCCTTTTTTTGCCCACAAGTCCATATGATGTAATTGGTAAGTTAGCTTTTTGTTAAGGGTGTCTGTTCTCTGAAGTAACTGCCCAGAGGCTGGTATCCCATCACCAAGTCACCCTTTATTTACTTGTGAACTGGCAGGTCTCCTTCGCTTGTGGAACCCAGGCAGCTGACGCCAGGGTCATTACTTTTGTGGCAAAAGGAAGGAGATTCCAGAGTAGAGGAGCAGTGATTTCTGAGGAATTGAAGTGGGAAGAAATTACAAGGAGCTGGGGGAATAAGGCTATCAAAGGGTTCAAACACAAGAAGGATTTTAACCCGTTGATTGGGTGCAGGAGGAAGAGAAACAAGCGGAGTGTATCAAGGACAAGGGTGCAAGGAGGTTGTCGAAGATGGGGTTTGCAAGGGCAAAAGTAGTTAGGGACAGTTTCGTGAGGAAGGAGCTGATAAAGGAAGTTTCCAAATGGAGTGGGAGAGTAGCTAAAATGAGGAAGCCATTTGTGACATCATTTAGTACGAGGGCCAGTTTTGTAGTAAAGGGAGCATAAGGCGGGTCTTCTAGACAAGATGAGCTTAGATAGATCATGATGGGAGATGGGAACGAGGTGAAGACGCAGTTCAGTGCTTGATCGAGGTGGGAGCTGGGAATGAGTGGTGGGTTCAACATGGTGGACAAGAAGGATACAAGAGAGTTTGTGGACTGGACAGTTGGTGAGAAATTGCTTCTGGGTGCCTTGCAATCGAAAGCTGAATTGAAAGTTTTAGAAAGAACGCCGTGTTTACATGATAACAGGCTGTGCCAAGCTGGTCAGAGAATACCAGGTTCAATGTTTTGTGCCAGCAACGGGGATGATGTGGGAACAAGGGGAAAGTCAAATGCAGACTCCTTTTGTACTCAGAGGAATACTGAACCAATGTGGGTAAGCCCAAGGGGAAATTCAAACCAGGTACATCCTAATTAACTGGAGAAGTGTTTTTGGACTGAATAGGGTGTGTTGGACAACAGTATTGGTGAAGGCCTGAGGACCAGCCATTTCCCTGTCTTTAGGAAGTGTCCCATTCACATCACAGCTCAACAGATGAGGCATGTGCGGTTCTATTCTTCGTTTTTTTAATAAATTCATTCACGGGATGAGGTCGCTGGCTAGGCCAGCATTTATTACCCGTCCCTAATTGCCCAGGGGGCAGTTCAGAGTCAACCACATTGCTGTGGGTCTGGAGTCACGTGTAGGCCAGACCAGGCAAGGATGGCAGGTTTCCTTTTCTGAAGGACATTAGTCAACCAGATTGTTTTCCCAACAATTGACAATTGTTTCGTGATGATCATTAGACTCTTAATTACAGATTTTTATTGATTTCAAATCCCAGCATCTGCTATGGTGAGATTTGGACCTGGGCCTCTGAATTAACTGTCCTTTGTTCTCATTGACTTCCACACCATTTCTATTCAAATATGCATTCAATGCCTCAAATTGTACATGCCTCCATTACATTTCTCTGCAATGTATTCCAAACCCTAACTATTTGCTGAGTAAAAAAGCTTTTCTTCACTTCATCCTTGCTTCTTTTGCAGATCACTTTCAATTTATACCCTCTTGTTCTTGTTCCTTTTCCAAGTGAAACAATTTTTTCCTATGCATTCTGGGGAAGGGTCGCCGAATCCGAAATGTTAGCTCTGATTTCTCTGCACAGATGCTGCCAAACCTGCTGAGCTTTTCCAGCTACTTCTGCTTTTCTCCCTATCTACTCTGTCCAGTCTGCTTATGATTTTGAAAACTTCTATCAGATTTGATCTTAACTTTGTTCTCTCCAAAGTCCCAACTTCTGCAATCTGCCCTCAGCCCTGAAGCCATTCTTGTAAACCGCTTCTGCACTTTATTCCTTCAAGGTGATGCCCAGAATTACACACAAAACTCCAGCTGAAGTCTAACAAGTGTCTTATACAAGTGTAACATCGCTTCCTTGCTCTTGGTCTCAAATGTCACAAATGGAGAATATACTGATTGGAACCAGGCGGATCTTATTGACTACGAGATCCTTGATTGGGAGTCGCTAACCTGGGTCAATCAGGAAGCCCTGGCTGACCAATATAAACAGGGGATTTAAAATCTCCTCCGTTCGGATGAAGACTCCCACATGGGGCTCTGGGAGCTGAAGTCGTGCTTCTCAAGAATTCTCATGCATTCACATGCAACCTCATGTTCAGAAAAACAAATGGAGAGAGAAATCTCCCAGTGGCTCATACAATTTGTGCATCTTTCTCAATCTTTATCCCAGAGGCGTGCAGATGCTTGGTGGCTGATTGTACTCAATACCAAGAGGGCCATGTTTCTGGGACACTAAGAAAATCAGATGGTAGCTGGAAAAATGTGATGTAGAACGTTAGCTGTGATGTAGAGTGGCATCGCACACTGGGAAGGTCTCATCTGGATCTAACCTTGCTGATCCATTATGCCATGTGCTCATCACCAACTGAAGCCTGAACTCTCGGGCGTATACACAGAGGTACTTCCCTCACTGATTCTGGTTCCAGGCAAAGGTATCAACCAGGAGTCGGCATATCTGAGAAGCTAGGCCCTTTAGCATCCAATTGCTGTATCGAGTAGTGGACCTGAACATTTCTGTATCCAATTTTGTTGTGTATGTATACCTTTGACATACGTGTGCCTGGGATGTAAGAGCTGTGTGTTAAATTTGAGTCCATCTGTTAATCTGTTTTTCTCTTGTGTTTGGGATAGCGTCAAGCCAAATACTCTGAGAATAAGCTTAAGTCCATCAAGGCCCGAAACGAGTACCTACTGACATTGGAGGCGAGCAATAACTCTGTTTTCAAATATTACATCCATGACCTTTCTGATGTAATTGATGTAAGTACATAGAATTTAACGAAACTGCAGTTACTTACATGTGACCTACAAAATATTTTGAGTCTTTTCTAATGCAAATGTCTTACCATTGTAGGTAAATCTTGGCTGAGTCTTGAGTCACCAGAATCTGCAAGTCTTCTTATAAGCAGTTTTGTTCTTTAGACTTAATAAAAATGACCTTGTAACTTAATAATGAGCAGGTTACTCCTCCTTTGGAGCACAGATACCTTGGGTTGGTGAAAGCACAAGATCTCCCAGTCAAAACAAATGTCTAAAATAATCAAACCACAACAGGTCTAGTACAATGTGATTTGGCTGAGGACAGAACCTATGGTCATTTTCTGCCTCTCTCAGTCTTGTACTTTCCTCTTCAGTGTCTCTGTTCCTGGAAGGAGGGGTGGGGAAATGATCGGGGATGGAGGGTGGAAGAAGGTGATCTGAAGAGGAGGGGAAGGCAATGGGAATTGAGGGTCACTGAGGGGGCCTGTGTGACCAACCAAGTGTGTGTTAACAATGTACCTTGAGCAACTGGCCAATCCTTATAAGTGAGCCTGGACAAGTGAGTGTTGTTAGGCTATTCAACTGTGAGAGTCAGCATAGTTGAGCCTGACGAGCTACACTCCTGCAAACACGTACAGCAGTGAAAACTGTGAAAGCTTCCGATTCCCTATTTTCTTTCTTCTCTGCTCCTTCCACTCCCCCGTATTCACACATTCTCTGGCATCTTGCCCACATGACTGTCACCTTCAGTGTGCACATTCACGGTGTAAGTCAATAGGTGAGCTGGTAATCCCACCCACAGTGCTGTAGAGATGTGCTGAATGTCTCTTGATTGGCTTTTGTCTTGCTTTTGTTACATCTGTTGCGAGAGTTTATTTTGAACTTCAAAGCATTTTTGCTTCCCATTCAGTTTGTCTGTTGAATGTGTTGCACGAACACAAGCAAAACAATATACAGTGATTGAAACCCCATAAAGGTCAATATTGCTGTACATCAGACGCATTAAAGTATTTGGCGCCATTGCTCATGATTGCATATTGTAATATTCTTGATCTTGTCACACTGTGAAAGAAGGTTATACTAAAGAATATTTGCTGTGATGTGGAAAATGTTAATTTTATTCAAGAAACATCTTAATGTGGCTTCATCATCCCACAGGATTGTAAGAGAAGGCAAGGTCACAGGAAATGATTAATATTACATGATATGCGCTGTCTCATTATCATATCTCAGTCAGACTTAACACCTTCTTCTCGATCCATGGCTATTTGTATTGTGTCTTAGCTTTGTCCGAGGAAAAAGATTTCAATAAAACAACGTTTTACTTTGATATAGCACCTTTAATGTAATAGAAAATCCAAGGCACATTGGTGAAATAAAAGACTCTCAGCCATACGATGCAATTCCATTAATTCATTGATTTTTTTGATTAATTAAGCAAATTTAGTTTGCACCAACCTTTAGCATTGGTAAGCAGGTAGATTGTAAGCAACATTGTAAAGGAGGAAACTGAAGGAGAGGCAGAGAAATGTAGGGAGAGAATTCAGCTGCTTTGATTTGTTAGATTTAGTTTATTGTCACATGTACTCAAGGACAGGGTACAAGAGTATGGTGAAAAGTGTACAATGTCATCACACACAGTGCCATCTTAGGTACATAGTACCTGGGTACAAAATCTTTGTTATAGAAATAGAAAAATAAAGAAATAAGAAAGATAAAGAAAGAAACTCTTGTTTCTCTTCAAAACGGTTCCACGAGCTATTTTGCACCCTCGCAAGGGCCACGTTTTGATATCTCATCTCAAGCAATGACACTGCAGCACTCCCTCAGTACAACACTGTGAGCATCGACCTAGAATTTGAGACTCTAGTCTCCGGGGAAGAGGGACTAGTTCGCAGTTTAAATTGGTGTAGGAGGTCAGACATAGTGAAGTTCAGCTCCCCTCAATCTCAAAGTTAAATGTATGTGTATTTCAAAATATAAGAGAACTTGCAGCCTTGTGCAAAATCTTGATGAATTACCTGCCGTTAATCAGCTTCAAGTGACAGAATAATGTGAAGCCCTTTCAAACACGTGGCACTGTCTACAAATAGCACTGATCCAGATCTGTCTTTTAAATTGGTTCTGAGTTGCTGATGTGCACACTTTTTTACTTTTTTCACTCAGCAGCTATTCTGAGCAGTAATTTTAATGTGGTAATTGTCTTTGGAGCCACGGTTCCTAGTGCACAGTCAAGGAGGATGAAAACATAACGACAAATTCTCTATCAATGGGAGGATTGTGGTATAAACGTGGCAATTGTGATGTTCAGAAATACAGTAAATGTATAAATAATGAATAGTGAAATTGATTTCCCTGTTGGAAAGGAGTGGGGAGACAATGGTCTGGTGGTATTATTGCCAGACTATTAATCCTGAATTCAGCTCATGTTTGAGACCTGGGTTCAAAATGGCAGGTATTGGAATTTTAATCCTTTAGAATTAGGTTTATTGTCAGGTATACTCAAGGATAGGGATACAAGAATACAGTTAAAAGTGTACAAAGTCACCGTTTCTCGCACCACCTTAGGTACAAAGATATCTAGGAACAAAATCTTGGGTCAAAATTAGAAAAATGAAGAAATAAAGGGAGAAGTTCAGCATAACAGTCCGTATAAAGCTGGGGGTCTGCATGGGCTTCATCGAGTATGGGAGCACTTCGAGTCCACATTGGCTGAACTCACCACCACTGATGTAGAGCTGGATGAACACAGCAGCATCAGAGGAGCAGGAAGGCTGACGTTTCGGGCCTAGACCCTTCTTCAGAAAAAGGGTCTAGGCCCGAAA